GCATGGAAAACATTTACAGGAAGGCAAAATTGCTTATCCTAAAATCAATTTTATACAGATCTCAAAAAAAATTATTCCACAAAAAATGGAAAAAATACTCAGTTGAATTACATAAACCAGATAATTTTCCCTGTTGTTACTCAGTGTAATGGGTTCCAAGAAAAGGGGAAGTAAAAGTTATACTGAGTTCAAATTGTTCTTGACGTGAAGCAATGCAGAACATATAAGCAGAACCAAGGCTTTCCCATGGGAACATTGGTCTGACTGCAATTTCCCAATAATGACTGCTGGTCCGGAATCATCCCAATAAAAATCTTAATGCATGCCATCTAAAGACGATAGTGACAGTGGTTTGTTAGAGTCTGTAAATCAATTGATTCTGTGTTCTTAATTTACGAAAGTATAATGGATCCTGTGTCTAGGACAGGAATGAGAGGAGGAAAAGAATGTAGGAGCAGTGCAATTCATTCTGAAATGAAGATGGCAAAAATGTGCAAAAAGTGAGCAAAGGCAATGCCGACTATTATTCTCTATTTGGTTTTCCTTTATGTATTTGAAAGGAGAGAATCAATATCAATGAGTTAAGGTATTCTGTACTGATGAGCAGATTGCACACTTTTGACTGACTGATTTAAGACGTTTAAGACATTAACAACAAAGACATATTGCTATAGTACAGTTTTTGAAATCCACTCCCTGCAGTAGATACAGAAACCCTTTGGATGAATTAATAGCAAAGGATGTTATGACTCATTTTTGAGAAACTAATGTTGTATTCAGTGTCTGGTAGAAGCCAAGGACTTGAGTAATGAGTTCTCAAAATTGTCAAACATGTTCAAGAATAGCTACTTTCTATTGTTGAAAGGAAACATGAAGGTTGAAATTACTTCTTATAGTTGCCAAATGCTTTGATCTCTCATGTAAATATGGGACAAGTAGTCACTAGTAACAGAATTATATAATCAAAATTCCTAATATCTTTATTGTAAGATAAAAGTATTTTATTAATTCAATTATCTTTAAGGATCCCTGCATCAAAATAACAATGTTTCTAGTACTGTCAGCTTCCTAATAATTCCTATGTATCATATGTGTGCAGAGTTCTTTAGAAGATCTGTGGAAAAATGGCTTCAAGGCTGTTGTGTGTTGACCCTGGCCAGCAGCTCAGCCTCACACAGCTGCTCACTCACTCCTCCGCAGTGGGATGGGGAAGAGAATTGGAAGGGTAAAAGTGATAAAACTCATGGGTTCAGATAAAGAGAGTTTAATAGGTAAAGCCAAAGCTGCATGTGCAAGCAATGCAAGGAATTCCTTCACTACTTCCCATGAGCAGGCAGGTGTTCAGCCATCTCCAGGAAAGCAGGGCTCCATCACGCATAACGGTGACTTGGAAAGAAAAACACTGTAAATCTGAACGTGCCCCTTTCTTCCTCCTTCCCCTTGCTTTTATTGCTGAGCATGATATCATATGGTATGGGATATCCCTTTGGTCAGTTGGAGTCAGCTATCCCAGTTGTGTCCCCTCTCAGCTTCTTGTGCACCCCCAGCCTACTCACTGGTGGAGTGGCATGAAGAGAAGAAAAAGCCTTAACTCTGCTTAAGCCCTGCTCAGCAATAGCTAAAACATCCCTATCAACACTCTTCGGAAAAAATCACAAATCCTATGAGCTTCTGTGAAGAAAATCGACTCCATCCCAGCCAAAACCAGTACAAAGGCCTAACCCAAATGTCAGCAGGGAGAAAGTCAGCACCAGAGAGTTTCTGAATGAAGCAAGGAGGTGGCAGGAGAAAGTTTAATGTCTAGCCGGAGGGAACTAATCTTAAGTCTGGAGTATAGAAACCATGGTACTCACTGATAAGTATAGAGTTTAGTCATCTGTTTAACAGCAAATGCATGAGTTGGCATGTGTCAAACTCACGCACTTCTTGTCTCAGTTATTTCTGCTTCTTAGGCAAACATGACTGTATTTGGAGCAGATCTAAGACTGTATTTGGAGCATGCTTTGGCTGCTGAGCAGCAGAAAGGAACCTTATAGCATCCAATTATTATTACCCAGCTGGCTTGAATTGAATATAATTAACTAATTAACTAAGGTACAGACCCTGCCTACAAAAGGTGGGCCATTTTCTCCTGGCTGTGGAAGATGCAATGGCATCCTTGGAGCTGCAGCCTAGGCTGGTGAGCAACAGAACCTTACAGCAGCTTTAAGATTTTCTAGCACAATGAGAAAGCTGAATAGCAGGGAAGAAGTCACTTCCACTGGGCACTGTGAAGGACCAGGACAAAATTTACGTCAGAAGTCCTCGTTTAAGTGCTTTTCTTTTGAAGGATATTAACAAATACAAATGACAGGTGGCCAGTGGTTACTATCAAAGCAGTATCTCTGCTAAACATTTTTTTGTGTGTAATTAAGCAGGAAAACTTCCACTCAGTATTTAAACAATGCAGATTCATTATTGTTGCAACTTCTTTGGCAAATGACATTTATCTCCCTCAAATTTACATGCTGGATGTTAAGAATTTTTGATTTAGACACCGTTCAGGCTTCTGTTTGTAGATTCAGTAGAAATGTGTTTTAGTGGAGTCTGCAAATGCCAACAGGTTGATAACAAATAGAACTGCTGTGCATCATTTCCAAGCTTTACACTATATTTGCAATTCCTGATATGCACAAGGTCAGGAAGTAAAATTCATTTTCTTCCAAAATACTGATGATGGGGACATGCGGCAGCTGAATTGTTAAGTCATTTATCAGAGCATCCTTCTTCCGTGATTTTGCAGGGCGGGTCATGTTGAATGAAGGAAGCAGAGAGCCCAAAGTATTTGCAGTGTTGTTCTTGATGCCATGTGCTGTTGTAATTGCTGGTGAGAAACTGTTTATCACCCTGTTCCCAGAAAATTGCCTGGAGACTGGCTGATGTTCCTTTTGCTATGACAGAAGCCAAATTAAAGAAGCGTAGGGGTGCTCTGCAGTGCTTTTCTGTAGACATAGTTTTTACAGCTGTCCAAAATGAACCAAACTGAGGAGTATAATTGTGCCGTTCTAGTGGAGAATTGAAGGGCAGTTCTTCAGAACTGATTTTATGTGAAATTATGTGAATTTAGAAAATAATATTTTCAAAATTGTATTTGAAGATGATTTTAGAAACATTGTTCAAGAAACATTGGACTACTTAGAGTGCTAGATAGCAAACACAGGATTCATGTAGAAAAGTAGGCTTTTTGGGGGGCATCTGTCCCAGTGCAAGCAATAGTGCGCTCTGGGTAGCTACACTTGAATTAGTCTCTGTGGGGCCACTTCACTATCTGTAGAAATATATCCAATGAAGTCTATGTTGACTACTTACGTAAGTACAAGAAGTGCTTCCTAGATGGCCCTGTGAAGAGACCCTACATTGCCTTAGATGTTTGTAAGTGTAGACACCTAACGCACAGTGAAATAGAGCCTACGATTTTTGCCCACAGATAGTCCTTGGGAATGCAGTGGGGCTCTGCAAATATACAGCAGGCTTTATAGAGAGCAAGAAAGTAATATTTTAGGTTTTATCATTTTAACCACCCAGGGACTTCAATTTTAAAAAAAATGCAATATTTATTCAGGATTTTAACTGAGGAACTTTCTTATTGTCTCTCTAATGACACTGGAAACATTAAGTCCTTATTTTCCTTCTTTATCTCTGCAGTAAATGAATATTATGTAAAACAAACAAAACATTAAAACTTGTTGGCAAAAAGGCCATCACAGCTTACTTCTTTAATTAGAAAAAGAGATTTCTGTATCCTGTGACACCTTGTATACCACTTTTAGCTCCTAACAAGCGTGACAGTTGCTGTGAATGCACTTACGATCTATGGCAGTTATGTTTCACTTATTTTTCCCCCTTTAACCATATCTATGATTGTGCAGTTTCAAAATTCTTCATTTCATTTAACATTTCATTTAGTCTCTTCCATATTTGTATAATATTTACTAAGTGAATGTCCAGCTAATTTCTTCATGAATTTGTATTGCTAAAGATACCTCTTTACTTGGCCTTTTAAATGCTTTTCCTTTTGCTATCTTAGTTTATTTAAAAGTATTGCTTCCTTGCTGCTTTTTACAAACCTTATTTAAGAAGGTGAGTAATATAACCAGGTGCACTAAATACTGAAATTCTGTCTGTTATACATAGCACATTCTGCACTGCTATTAAAACTTTAATTTCATAACATAGTAAAAAAATTTGCAATTCTAATATTTTACCTAGGTTCAGTAGAAAATAATGTCAGTCTAATGACTTTATTGTAGGCATAAATGAAGAAGCAGCTTAATTCTGAGAGTGTTTAGCATTATTTTTCTTAATGTTGTCATTCAGAATAGGATTTAATGTAATATGTAGCTGGTAAATTTACAGATAACTTCATTTAATCAGCAGGCTGTGTACTTTAGTCTTTGTTGAAAAATTTCCAAGTTTTAGCAAATAACTTTACTAAAGAGAGAAAGGATTGATTGGCTCACAATTTAATAAAGTATTTGAACATTTAGATTAGGACATTAATGAGACTTAAACATGTCTTTAAATTTAAGCTCATATATAAACATATTATGAAGCACCCTGGCGCAGAAGAACTGAGAGAGATTCTCTCTTTTGGAGATAATCTGCTCTTCCAAACTGTGGCTCATTCTTCCCAGTTTGATTGTGTTTATGGAAGTTGATGAATCTGATATTTTCTTAGACCTCATTGACATGGAATAATTGGCTGAAATTATTCCAGCTTGCGTGTCTAAATTTTGAGTTCCTGAGGCTGAATTTTCTGCTGAGGTCAATTGGCTTGAGACATTGCGTTGCAAAAATATGTTGGAATAAAGATACAGCATTCTCATCACGTACTGTAGAGCCAAGAGTAAAAACAATGCTATTTATTTTGCCTTCAGAGCTATTTAATGGAAAATTATATCATTTCACAGTCAATTTTACATATCATTAAGTGCTTTCTGCATATATATTTTTCTGTGCAGGTCAACTTCTATGTAAGGGTGAAGGCAATTTATACCCTTGGACACAGTGTATCTCTGATTGCTCTTACAACAGGAAGCATAATTCTTTGCCTTTTCAGGTATGTATTTTTAATGAGTAAATATGAAAAAGATAAGATGGATTTAACTGTTGTCTGATTGCTCAGATATTTAGAAAATGCATCAATTTTACACTTTTCTCAATTAAACAGCTGACTAATGTAATGCTAACTTGATTTTTGCTAGCAGCTGTCATATTAAAAAATTTCAAAGCACTTTACAAGTTTACATATATTACAGTCCATGTAAGAAAGAATAGTCATTTAGGAATGGATTATATAAAGTATTTTCTATTTGATTATTAAAATCGACTTAAAATTGCTCTTAAAAATCGACTTGAATTGCTCTTAAAATTAGTAGGATGCTGGTCTCAACATTGGACAAGTGGGCAGCCATATTTTGCAGAAGCTTCTCAGTGGTCTCCAAGGGTACTGTACTCAAAGGCAATCATCAATTTGTCCAAATGGGGTTGTAAATGAATGGATGAATGTGCTGAAGGATAGCGCTGGATGTGCAATGTTTTTGTTAGGCTGTGTTAGGAAAGGCAGTACTGTCTGTTGGTTTTGCCTGATTTCTGGGAGTTTTCTGAGACTGAGAGCTATCTCCAGCTGGTAAAAGAAATTGCAAAATCGTATTATCAGTGTCATAGCTTTACTCAGTCTCTTCACCTTCATGCCTTTATGTATCACTTCTGCCTAATAGAATAGCCTTTATATTCTCCAGTATAAACTTCACACAACTTTCCTGTTCCACTCTACACCAAGAAAAACAAGAAAATGCCTCTCAGAAGTTGCTAACGCAGTAGAGTTGTCAAAATTGTGACTTCATCCAGCAGGATTAGGGTGTGAACTCTGGATAGAGTTCAAGAGATTATTGAAATTTTGCATTGCTGGATTTGTATATGTATGATTCAAATTATACTGCATTTAATCCTGAATATGTGTGGTATTTTTAATGAAAGAAAACATGGAATAATGTGGAGTTTAATTTAAATGTAGGTAATGTGTTCATGACAAGGAAGTGGAAATTCTTTTTGAAGTATTATGACTTGACTTCTGCAGTTCATTATATATTGTTATGTGTTGTCTGACAAAACAGATACAGCCTCAGGAGTTTGCAGTTATTCACAGTATCAGCTATAAGCACATGAATGGCAGAACTGTTGGGTGAGGAAGGAGAGTTGTTTCTGAAAGTTTCCATGCCGTCACAATATTCTGTTTTGCATTTCTTCCAAAGAACTAGACTTTATTTTAATCTTTACAGAAACATTATATGGGTTCCCATTATTAATATCGGTAAAGGACACCTTTAGAAGCATTGTAAAAGGAAAGGATTTTATATCTGGCTAATTTTTTAATCTGAAAACATAAAACTTGAATATCTGTAAATATCTTGCCAGACTAATCTGACAGCATTTTTCAAGTTACTCTGGTGCCGCTCCCCCCATAATACTCTGTGTACTTAGTATAATTAAAGCTAATTGTTAACTTTGTGACCAATATTTTCCTGACGGAGATTGCCAATTTTTCAGGCACGCTCTTGCTTCTGCAAACTTAATTTATAAACAGCAAAGCTAATGGTTTTGATTTAGTCAAAATAAGTATCTTTACTCTTCTTAGAATGCAAGTTTCTATTTCTTCATTTTGAATGTCTAAGTTGTAATACATCATAAAATTTTAGAAAAGTGGAAATCAAAATCATTGAAAATAAATAGTATTTTTCAGATATTTCTACATAACACTGACATTCTGGATCTTACTGTAGATCTTCTATACTTCCTTTGGGGTTACTCCTGTACAGTAAAACTTCCAAAAAAATAGTCAGTTTCTCTGATATGTGTTTCTTACCAAGGAGAAAAATATGAATCTCCATCATTTCTGTAAGATGTGCTCTCATGTGCATCAACTGTCTGTAAAGATTCCTCACCTCGTAGTTTTGTATCATGAGGTATTCGTATCAAAGGATTAAGCATTGTAGCTTTTGTTTCATTGTAAAGAACAGCATTTCTTTGTTATTCTGAATCATCATAGGTATCCCAAATAAAAATATTTTCTTGAGCACTACCTCAAAAACGCTGATTTGACAGCCTTGTATATATCCAACATTTATTATTTCAGCTACTGAATGGGATGAAGAACTAATTAGAACTAAATTTCCTATTTGAGAAAAATACTTTCCTCACATTTGCAGCCTGCATGTTTCACTGAATCCATAGGAACATACAACGCAGTCCAACATAACAGTGGTATTCCAGTTTTTTTCAGAACCTGTCACAGCAAAGGACTTGCATAGCCACAGAAAGCACTGGATTTTTGACAGCTGCTTTAAGTTCAGCCTGGTATTATGACTTTGCCAAACTAGGGGCTAGCAAGATGGATCTGTTATTTAT